GTTATTCAAGGTTAGTGTTTATTTAAATTAAATCCCCACTTTGTGAGGGAAGCCCAATCAGAAATGGAGGGAGAAAAGAAAAAAAAAAAAAAAAAAAAAGGAAATGGGTTTTCTTCCACCTGCACCCACCGCGGGTGCCCATTTTCCAAGGCCGATTCCGGCCAACTCCGGTGGAGTTTTTCGATGTCACCACCACCATCTTGAAGCTCTCATTCCCCTCTACAAAACCCACCCAAGAACCACCTTGATTAACCATGGGATGTGGAAGTTTGAGGCCACGAAAGTTGACGAAAATCAATGGTGCTCCGGCCACCCTTCTCGATTTTTCGGCAAATCGGCAAAGCAATGGCCGATGCCACCACTTGGGCTTTGTAGCCCATCATCCCAGGTGCAAAACCCAACCAACCTTGACCTCGTTGGACCACCGTAGACGACGAATCGACGTCGGGAAGTTTTAGGCACCCGCCGGCTTCGTGGGCAAAATTGACCATCTTCCGTCCACTTTTGGACTTCGTAGCAGGTATAAAAGTTACTCCACTCACTGAGATCTTCATTTCTGTGAAGTTTGAGAATTTTTGGAAATAGTTGGATTTTCCGGCGAGTCGGGGAGGCCGACCGCCACCCGCGGCGGCGCGTGGCCAGTGAGCCGGCAATGCTATTTTTAGGCTATGTCAAATGTTTTGAATTCAGTTTTGTCATTTGAATGACGTAGGTTGATCGTTGGAACCTAAATTCGTTATGATACGTTACTTGATAAAAATGTGAATTGATGATCCGACCGTTGGATCGTCACCAAAATTGGATACATTATAATACGTAATATTTATAGATCATAGGAATTTACGGATCGGGAATCCGACTTACGGATCTTCCTGAATTGAACTTGTAAGTTAATAAAATAAATGTTCACGGCCACTTGTTTTAGGCAATTGGCGGAGATCTGACCGTTGGATCGTAATGAAATTTTAATATGTTATTCTAGAAACATATTGTGGATCGTTGGGAGTTGTGGATTGAAAATCTGATATGCGGATCTTTCGGGTCAAGTTATACAGGGTTGTAAACCCTACCGTCGATCTTTGATCGACGGTTGACTTGTGGTCAATGAGTATCAAACTATTTCAGAATATCGTTGAGGTTGTGTTTTATGTGAATTGCGTATTCTACGGATAAGAGTTCTGAGATGTGATTTGATAATTGGCCACAAGGACCGATCATTCAGGACACCTCGATGCGCGTGCTAGAGAAGTATAGCGTGGACTCCAGGTGAGTGGATCTTTTCCTTTTTATTGTGCATATTATTGAGAGTTCTATCGACACTTTTAAATTGATTAGGTATATTACCTTCGTATAATTATTGTGAATGCTTGAAGTACCTATATGAACTACGAATGGCTTGATCCCTATTTAGGGTACGTAGGCAGTCTAACGAGACGTTAGATGCAGCCATAAAATATTTGAGACAAAAGCCTTGCTTGGGAAATTGAGTAATGCGAAGGAAATTGGTAAAGACAAGTTTTAGTTTTGTGAATTAGTTAGTTAAATTAGAGTTAATTGGGTTGTCATGGATAATTATCCCTGAAAATAAGTAGTTTGGGAGTAGGGCGTTACTGATTGTACACTTCACACCATATTGTTTATAATTGAAAATGCTACGACATGGTTGAGTAGTAGATTGCATCATGATATATCCATATGTATATTACTTGCACATAATTATTGGGAATGCTTTCAAGTGCAAAGGTGAACTCAGGACACCCAGGTAAGTTCAGGTGAGTTTATGGTACTAGTTGAATCGATTACGTTATAGCATGACTACAGTTATGAGTTAGGCAACTACGATACTATTGTACTGGTTGCCATGAGTTGCATATGTTATATTGAGATGCGTTGAGAACTCATAAACCTGCACCCCGGTGTTAGTGCTCCCGCCCGTGGCCAAGGCACAGTCCTTCACGTGATGTTCACCTCCCGCACCTTATGCTCACCTTGGATCCAAGGTAGGTGCACAGTCCTGTCGTACAGACTACCTTAGGTGGTTCCAACTTGTAGGTGACCCGCGATTATTCGCCCAGTGTTCACATGATCATAGCACTCGAGCGTATTTATTTACACCCAGTCCTGTCATACAGACCACCTTAGGTGGTTCCGACTCATGTGCAGGTATACTTATTAAGCTATGGGCTAGCTAGGATTGATGAGATATGGATAAGTCGTACAAGTCACTATAGGTGACTCCGACTTATATGGTAGCCAGGATTGACGAGATATGGATAAGTCGTACAGGTCATTATAGGTGACTCCGACTTATATGCTAGTCATGATTGATGAGATACGAATAAGTTGTACATGTCATTTTAGATGACTCTGACTGATATATCACTTTGTATGGATTTAGTTCATTTGGCCTACTTATTAATGTATGGTGGATTTGATGGCAAACCGTGGTTTTGGTCATTTCCGAGTATGGTTTGGATATATGTATATATGTTGTACTGTCTTATGGAAAACGATACGGGTTTTACTTTTAGGGGCATTACTTTTAGAAAGGTAGTAACTTTGGGAAGCTTGGTTTTATTGCTTACTCACACCTTCTGTTTGGTGCCCTCCAGGTTTTAGCTGCTGAGTTTGTATGGACAAGAATCTGTGGCGAATCTTAGTATTGATGGATATTTTTTAGGGTATGATTCTTACCCACATTACTATACCTTATGCTCTGACATCGCACGTGAAATGAGTTCGCTCCCACTCGTAGCGCACTCTGGTATTTAGACACTTTTGGATTCAAATTCATTCACTTTTTATACACATCACATTTTATGGCTTCGTCACCTACCAGGTGTCGGCCAGCACAACTCGATTCAGGGTCCAAGTGGACTTTCTGGGTCGGGGTGTGTCATAAGTAAAATGACACATGCCGAGTGATTAGGTGTATGGTGAGCATACCCTATAATTATGGTAGTGAGCAAAAATGTTCCCACGCATCTTTTTACTTAACTATAGTTATTTTTTTTCAAAATTCAAAAAGCAAACTTAATGTAAAAATTAACTAAAGTGGTAAATTACATTTTACCCCCTCAGATTTGGGGTCGATTTCAATTCCTTACAATATCTTTAAAACATTTCACTTTCATAGCTCAAGTACTATTTTATTTCAATATAATACATCCGTTATATTTTCCATCCATTGGTCTGTTAAGAGCTGACGTAGCTGCCACATTTGTGCTACGTGGCAAAACATTTAATAAAATATTAAAATAATTATTTAAAGAAATGTTAAAAGAAAAAAAAAAAAAAAAAAACCCAGATCTCCTTCCCCAGAATCCCCACCTGTGCCCACCCTCTCACCCCGCATCACCCACCCCTTCCCCCATCCCCCATCACCCACCCCTTCCCTCATCCCTCATCACCTGCAACCATTTCCCTCCCCACTGCGCCTCCAAAAACATTCCCCGTCCAAACCACCATCGCCCCCTCCCCCGCACGGCTGCCGTGTGGTTTTCTACCATCTTTCCCCACCCTAAATCCAAATTTCTAAAGTCCAACAAGCAAAACCCTTTTGCCTTGGCTTTGGTAGCTGCTGTATCTTCCTTCACTTTTTCTTTTTGCAGGCGCAGAGGCATATATGGACTCCTCAAAGCTTTCTGTCCATCCTTCCCCGAAAGAAAATGGGAGGGCAGCAGCGGTGTATGATGCCGAGTCCCTGCACTTTTCTTCCCGTCAGGCGCAAACCCACCATCCTCTGCCGCAAAACCCAGAAGAGGAAGAGAGAATTGATTAAAAAAAAAACCCAGAAGACGAAGAGAGAGAAGATTGAAATTTGAAGTGGGTTTTTGGTTTTTGAAATTGTGAGGTTCTACAATTCCTTGAAACTATTGGATTCTGGGGTGGGTTAGGAGAGGCTTTGGTTTTGGGTTGAGATAAAATGGGTGGGTGGGTGCCTGCATCTGTTCGAGTGGTGAGGTGGGGGTGGCTCGTCTTTTGGGTTGATGAAATGAATAATGGCAGTGGCTTGAGAGAGAGAGAGAGAGAGAGAGAGAGAGAGGTGGTGTGGTGAAAAATGGTTGTTTGGGGAGCTTGGGAGTGGATAATCGGGATGAGATTCTTGTAGTGGTTGAAGGTCAAGAACTAGGGATTTTGGGCGGTTTGGGGTTCGAGAGAGAGTGGGGAAGACAAACTGGGTTTTGGTTTTTTTTTTTTTTTTTTTTTGCTTTTTTTAATTAATTATTTGAAAATTTTTATTAAGTGTTTAGCCACGCAGCATAAATGTAGCAGTCACGTCAGTATAAATATGGACCTCTTATTTGCCACGTCATCACTTAATGGTTTATTTAACAGATTTTCTAACGGATGTATGAAACTGAAATAAAATAGTACTCGAGGTATGAAAGTGAAATGTTTTAAAGATGTTTTAAGGAATTGAAATCGACCCCAAACCAGAGAGGGTAAAATATAATTTACCCTAAAAAAAAATGACATGTGATAAATGATTAGGTATATAATGAGCATACTCTTTGGACAATCGTGAGAAAAAATGCTCTTTTTTTTAATTTTTTAATACCATTTATTTATACATTTTGTATGTATGAACACATTTTTTTAGAAAATGAGAGAGAGAGAGAGAGAGAGAGAGAGAGAGAACGTTGGGGAGTGGGGGTTTTTGTTTTTGGTTTTTTTTCCTTGTTAAATATTAGAGATTTTAACATCACCTGTAAGTGAGGTTTCGAGAAAAAAATGTAAAAATTTAAACCTGTAAAATTACATTATTTCCCATCATTTTTCTTTTGTGTGGTAGAAGATTAAATTATCTTTTTATCTTTTTTGGTTTGATTGACAAAGAAGATTTCATTAATTAATAAAGATTGGTGACTTGAACAAATTGGGCCCCATTTCAACTTGCTATAAGCCGGTTAATGGTTTTTACCACCATTCAACTTTCCAGACTTTTACAACCGTTAGATTTGCATCTACGGATCCCAGCCCTCCATTTTCCGGACAAATTGAAGAAAAATCCAGCAATAAAACGGCATATTTACAGAACTCACAGCTAGAGTTAGAAAGTTGGTCTCACACGGACAGAACCAGCTATTTTAGTTTTAAAGAATGCATGAAACAAAAAAAAAACTAAAAAAAACTGTATATTGTTTCTTCTATCTTGGACCAGAGAGTTCCATGGCATAGGAATCCAAAGAATGCTCATCCTCATCCTCGTCTATCCAAGCGCTGAACATGCTTCTGCGATCTCGTTCATTTCCATCGTGTTTTGAATGAATGCCATCAGCGTGAGTGCTGCTTTTGTTACAGTTGTGACTCTGAAAGAGATCCATGCTGGAATTACTTTGATTATGTGATGCTGCCCACTTCTCCGCTAGCCCATCGCCTTCGAGCATCCTCACCACTTCTGACATCTTGGGGCGGTGGGCTGGTAGGTACTGAGTGCACAGGAGAGCCACTTGCAGCATTTCCCCCACCTCAATCTGGTCGTAATTGTTTCCCAGCTCTCTGTCTACCAAAATTTCCACCTTCTTTTCTTGCTGTATTTTCTTCACCTGTGACCAGTAGCATGGATATAAAATGTTCTCATTAGCTCTAAACATTCAACCATTAAGGGCCTTCAAATAGTTGGCTCGAGCAACATTGATAACACTTGTTTCTTTGAAGTATAACGGCACAGGATGGTATGAAACTGCTTATCCATCTCTCACTATGTGATTTGGGACACCAAATCGATAAATGTAACTAATAAAAACAAATGAGGAATGCAGAAAACGTCTATATAGCCCATCTAAGTAACAGAAAAACTTACCCACTCAAGAATGGCTCCTTTCTGATTAACTGTTTTCCCAAACTCAAGAGCTCTCATTCCAGTTATGAGCTCTATCAAGAGAATTCCAAATCCAAAAACATCAGTTTTTTCAGATGATTGACCAGTGGAAAGGTATTCAGGTGCAATATGCCCAACAGTGCCACGAACAGCAGTGGTGACATGAGAGTCAGCATGGTCAAGGAGCTTCGCAAGACCAAAATCGCCAACAATAGCCTCACAGTAGTCATCCAGGAGCACATTTGCAGCCTTTACATCCCTGTGTATAATCTTTGGATCGCATTGCTCGTGTAGATACAGAAGGCCTCTTGCAGCTCCAATTGCAATCCTCTTCCTTGTGTTCCAGTCTAGTGCTGGTTTTCCTGTTGTGAACAGAATAATTTATCAGGACTTCATTAAGGTGGATGGTGGCTTTTGGCTTCATTCTACTAAATTAAATTTGATGTACAGCCCCTTTCTCAAACAAGAAACATTTTAAGAAGTCTTCGAACAATTTACACAGTATGAATAATCATGCGGCAAATGTAATCATTCTCTCTCAGACCGACTCGGAAATTTCAGATTTCACCAAGTTTTAAATGTATCTAAAGTTGACAGTACCATCCACACATAATCCCAATAATCCAATTAATGAACGTATTTAAGGCGAAAACCCAAGTACACCGGCAACTTATGAAGGAAATCAAAGTAACCAAGAAAAATCTTAAAAGTAGGTCACAGGGCTTCCAACCTCTGAGCCTGGCGGCTACACTGCCATTAGACATGTAAGGGTACACCAGAAGCCTCTCGCTAAAGGTAGCACAAAATCCAATCAGCCGAAGCAAATTGCGATGCACTGCTAGGCTTATCATCTCCAATTCAGTCCGAAATTGTGATTCCCCAGCTGTTCCTGTGACATCCTTGAGACGTTTCACTGCCACCATAGTCCCATCTGGTAGCTTTCCCTTGTAGACATTGCCAAAACCTCCAGCCCCAAGTATGTGTTTGGAGCTAAAATTGTCTGTTGCGAGTTGAAGTTGTTTGAAAGTAAAGCTTCTGAGGTTGCCCAAGCTCACAATCCCCTCTTCTTGAATGTCTGCAGTAAAGGTAAGAATCCATAAGAATCCATTTGAAATAAGTTATCTATTTTCATTTTTTACATTGTTGATTAATTAACTGGGATCATATGATGTTACTGACCATTGATGTTCAAAATGGATTGGGTTTTTTGATTCTTCCTGTGCCAGAGCATTCCAAGCAATAAGACTATGACAAGCACACAACTGAGGCTGAACCCGAGTGCAATTGCTACAGTCTTGGAGTTATGTTTTCCTTACAAGAGTAAAAAGGGAACAATCAGAGACAACGATATATATATGCGTGCGGGAGCACGCACACATATATACATATGGGTTGTATAGCGTAAAAAAGGAAAGTTAAATGGGTTTACTAGGTGATGTTTTGAGAGATAATGAAAGAGGGACGGGGGTAGCTGATCCAGAGCATCCTTCAGTGGAGCTGCTTGCGCAAATTAGCGGATTCCCCACAACACTAGTGTATAAAAATGCAAAACAAATCAGTAAAGCACAAAGAATAAGAATAAAACAAGGACCAGAGAGAGAGAGAGAGAGAGAGATAGAAGGCATACTTAAAAGTTCTGGCTGGGAATTTGGGTATTGGACCACTGAGATTGTTATAAGACAAGTCCCTGATGACCCAATTTATAGTAAACACAAGAACAAACACCCATTCATCAGATATTCAGAAATTACTCAACATGTTGTAAACATGTTCCAATTTTCAAGAACCAAAGACGACTTAAAATTAAAAAACAAACAAACAAACAAACAAACACAGTAATAATAATACTCACAAGAAAGCAAGGCCGGGGATTTTGGCTAAAGACACGGGAAAAGGCCCAGACAAGCTATTGTTGTTCAGCCTCCTGCTCTCATTACACGACACACGACAAAAACAACAACATTGGAGGTTGCTAATGCTAAACAAGACAACTCCATTTCACTTAACAACAAATTAAGACATGAATTAACACTAATTAATCAAAACTTACAGGTATTGGAGAGTGTTCAAGTGAGCCAGAGAGTCGGGGACAAGACCCGAAAATCGGTTGTTGGAGAGATCCAAGGTTTGAAGCTTGGGCAGCGTACCCAGCTCTGAGGGAAGTTTCCCACATATATTGTTGTTCTGCAGCAACCTTCAATTGCCACAGTCAAAAATTAAAATAACAAATGAATAATATATATATATATGTGCGCGCGCGCGCTCAGAACAGAAGAAAATTAAAATAAAAAGAGGAGAAAATGGAAAGAGGTGAATCAAAGAAGTTACACTTGTCGAAGATTAGTGAGATTTGCAATAGCCCCAGACAGAGTTCCAGAGAGAGACTGACTTGGAGCTCCCCTACAAAGTACAAACAAAATCAAATAACACAACCAATAACCCATTAAAATAAATAAAATTAGAAGAAAAAGAGAAATGATTTAGCGAGTTACAGGCCAATGACGAGATTATCAGGGGAGCAGGTGATCATAGCCCAGCTACAAGGGTCCACTGAGTCCTCATCCCAGTTGTTTAACACCCCATGCGGATCATTCAAACCTACCCTTAAGCTTATCAAAGCCTCCACTGCAACCATGTTTTCAAAATTTTCAAATTAGAAATTAAATTAAATAAAAAACCCCGATCCCAAAACAAGAAGAAAAATCAAATTCCGAATCCTTTTTTTAATACATTTAAAATAAGGCAACAAAACGAAGGTGGTGGGAAGAGGGTGTTTTACCTTCATGGTTGCGAGGCTCGTAGGAGAGGCAGAGGGAGCAAGAAGAGAGAAAGAAGATCAAGAGCTTGAGAGGAAGCATTATTATATTATGGAGTATTATCAATGGAGGTAGAATTGGAATTTAGAGATGATGATGAACATGATTCTTCACATTAACAAACACTCTCTTCCCACTCTCTCTCTCTCTCTGTTCTTTCAGAGTTTTCAGTCCCTCTCCCTTTTTCTTTTTCAGTCTTTCACCACCCTTTACCCTTTCTCTCTCTTCTCTCTCACTTTACAAATATTCAGGCCAAAAGAAAAGAAAAAGAAACGGAGAGGCTAGCTCTTTTTCTCCTCTTTTTTTTCTATAAAAAAAAGATAAATAAATAAAATTGTGAGAGAGACAGAGAGAGCAGGTGGGGATAAATTACGTGGGTGACAGCAGTTGTCAGGGGAAGGGTGTGAGTGTTGTGTCGTGCAGAAACTGAGATGCGTGTGAGAGAGTGTGGGATTGTACGAGCAGCAGCAAGGAGTTGGCAAGCAGCTGGACTGGACTGGAGACTGGACTGGACAAGGAGTAGGAGTACAGGACTAGGACTCTGACTGGCTGGCTTAGTTTTTTGCTTGTTCCAGACAAAAAGCACAGAGATAATGAGACGGGGGTCATCAAAGACCAGATCAAATTACCAAATTTGGAGGTTTGAGATTGGGATTGGTTACTTGTGATAGAGGGTTCAACCGTTCCAGCTCATAATTTATGAAATACTTATGAATTATGAATTACGAAGGCCTGCTAATACCCAGCTACATGCCCATTTCAAATCAACTTTAGAGCATTTTAAGAGTAGTACTACTACACTTATTATCTAATTGTATCATCACATTTTTCTACTAAAGGTAGAGTCCACCAATGCACGTGGTTTTCTTCTTTATTATAAAGATGATACAAATAGATAGTAAAAATAACATCTTTGCATCTTTTAGCTAGATATCAAATATAATATGTCAAAATTTTATTTAACAGCTTATGTGGTAAATTGAGAACAAATATTAAATCTTCGATGTGTAAAATATTTATTTTATTATTATATTAGGCCCTATAATTACATTAATTAGTAAGAAATAATTAAAACTGATTTAAGTTTTAATTCAATTTATTGTCAATGGGATCCCTGTATTAAAAAATTAAATTAAATATATTTTGACTCTTTCTTTGTTTTGTAAAAAAAGATAACTAGAAAGTAAGAAGTCAAATGACTCAACCGCCTTAATATATATGACATCTGCATTAGGGAACACCTGAATGTTTTTAGTCTTATTTGTCATATTTGACATCACCGTTGGACACAGAGCCATGTGTTGAGCACAAAGCAAACTATTCTTTCGCCTTTTATTAAAGACAATATGCTCATTGTTATAAGTGGCTTGCGTCTATTTTTGGAGGGGCACACCTCTGTGGGTGCCCCTATTAAAAAAACAATCTCCTTTGGAGTTGGTCTTAAAAGCTCTTGGGAATCCCATTTTGGGGGGAAAATGGGCACTAGTTGTAGGCCCACTCCACGTCGAATTTCAATGTTCCGAACTGTCTATTTTGTAAGTCTCAATTCATAATCATAAGTCATTCTTGCAAAAATTCAATTTAATTTGAAACTATTTGCCTATATAATTATCACATTGAAATTTTATTGTTTCTTAGAGAACAAAATGTTCCAATTAGATGCCTCAAATATTTCTAATTTGGCTAATATTTTGCAAAGATGATCTATGAGGTGCAACTTGAAAATAGACCGATTTGACCATTAAAGTTCGAAGTGGTGTGGGCCCAATAACTAATTCTCATTTTTAGGAAAAAAAAAAAAATGGAACCTTAAAGACTTCCTATATATATATACCAAGAGTCATTTTAGTTTTGATTTGTGGTCAATTGATGTGGTAGAAACTAATACACAAATTAAACCTTGTATATTATGCAATCGTGGTACGAGTAAATAGGGATCGTTCTATTATGGGGTTTAGAAGGGATGCTAATTAACACAAATTAAACTAATAAAACTAAAAACTAAGTTAAACTAACAAAGAAACAATGAATGTGGATTTTGGACAAATTTAATTAAATAAAAAATAAATGGTTGCAAGTAATTAAGTTGTGAGTGAGATATGGATGGAATGATAGTTAAAGGATTCTTCTCCATACATGAAACATATACATACAAATCGACTTCTAGTTATTCTTCATATAAACCATGAATGACAATGCCCCAAATTAATCGTGAGCAACACTAATTAACTCTCAGATTTTCCTAAGTTTATTGAATTGGACACACCGACGTGACCAAATTATTCTTCTCAAGTTCCCTAACTATGAAAAGCATGATAGAGGTATATCTCGAAGATCATTAAGTTCTGTGAAAATCATAAGCATTGACGAAGCATTCGTAACTGTGAACATCATGATACTCCTACCAAGGAATTACTTAACTCAATTATAGTGACTTTTACTTCTCACAAATATAAGTTCATAACAATTAGGTGAAATTTCCTTATATTCTAGCATCAAATCCTTAAATGCAGACTTAGTATGCATCCTTAATAAACATACAAGAATAAATTCTTAATAAACCGGATAAGTAAAATCGCTTTCACATTTTATGAAACAATAAGTGGATGTAATCAATTCATATAAAACATATGATCATGGCTTCAAATTCACCTATAGCTAAAAAGAAATTTAGTTACACATGTTAATCATAATTGAAAAGCAATAAATAATAAACTTTGAAACTTAAAATAAAGATAGAAAGAACCTAAAAATTCCAGCAACTTCAATTGGTGAATGATAGGCACACCACACTTGTTTAAAACATTGCAGGGCACTTTTATATGTGTAAGGCACGGTTGAATCCAAGGAGGAAATGGATTAGGCGTTTTGAATTATTTAAGACTCTAAAGAAACAGTTGAAGAGTGTTGGAATGTGATTAGGATTCTCCTTTGCAGCTGTAGATAAGATAAGATAGGATAAGATAATGTTTTACTCCAACAAGGACTCCTCTTTCTTGTGTAATTCCTTGTCTTCCAAGCTTCAACTTAATTCCTTGAGATTTTAGCACATGTTTAACACATTTTAAACTCCAAAAACGTCCAGCCCATAAGCCATCCACGCATGCTATCCAATCCAAGTCTAAAACTGCTTCAAAATGCTTCATTTGATCATTTATGGTCATCCTTACCAACCAGAACTTCAATAAAACGAAAATAACATAAATCCCTATAACAATTGAGAATTAGCTAATTAGATGCAAAGAAATAAGATAACAAAGTCACATAAATATGCTCATATCATCAATCTAATTATAAGACTTAAATAGTTTGACTGATGTCCTTAGCATCACTTAATGGATTTAACTCTTGCACTTGTGCATTCAATACCACACAACAAATCCAAATAATAAATTTAAAATAGAATTACTTAAATATGACAGCCCGTCCCGGACTTTTCATACCGTATGGGTGAAATGACGATTTTGCCCCTAGTATGATTGTTTCGTTGTGTGGTCGTTTTTGGGTTTTGATTGGTTAATTTTGGACCACACACATACCCACACTCATTTCTCTATCTCTTACCCTGTCCCGAGACCCTCTCTCTCTCCCTTTCCTATCCTTTTCGTACGAACAACACCACAAACCCTTGGATTCGTCACGGATCGAGGAAACAAACTACATATTTGTTCTCGTGAGATCCTTAGGAGTTTAACCATACCTATTTCAGGTAAGGATACCTTTGTTTTCACGTCGAACTCGAGATCTCCGATTTTGATCACTGTTCATGCACACGTTAATTCTTATGTTTTTGGGAATATCAAGCTTGTAGGAAGCTTGGTGAGGTTCTTAGGAGGCTCGGGGTGGTTCATTTGGAGGTTTTGGACGTCGGGATCGTGAGTTATAGGTTTGGCCGGAGTTGGTGGTGTTTTCCCGGCGAGATTCTGTGGGTTTTAGTGCTTGAAAGTGGAATAGATTTGTTCCTCTTGTTGTAAGCTTCATTTTGGTACCAATTTTGTGAAATTTGGATGAAAAACGAGTGAGATACGAAGTTTAGAAATTTTCTTGGTTTTCCGGCGCCAGCGACGGCACCGAAGTTTGGTCGGAGAAGATGACAGAATATTCTGTCAGTTTGGACAGAATATTCCTAACGGCATTAACAGAATTAGTTAGATTTAACGGAATATTCCTGATGGCGTTAACTGACGCCGTCAGTGTGCCAGGCACATGCCTGGGCGTGCGTGGCGTGTGTGGCCGTGCCTTGGCTAGCGTGTGGGGGCGCGTGCGGTGTCGGAAAATTATTTTAAAAATATGGAGATGTTCGTGAGGTTGAGTAGATCACGTTGGTGTATTCATACACCCCATTTGAGCATTGTATGAGAAGTTATTTCGTAATGTTGGTTATGTGCTTTAAAATTAACGTTTTTATAGTTGTTCCGCATATAGGTGAAACCTATCCCGAGGACGAGCGCAGTCACTCGAGGCAAGAGGGTTACAAACCTTCTACATACCAGTGAGTGGGCTTTTGGTTTTCCATATATACCTATATACTTGTGCTTTTCCCAGAAAGTGAAATGAAACGTTTAGATGTTTTATATGCCATGCATTATATTTGTTGTTTAATTATGCATTATTAGTTGCATATATACATATGTTTGGTGCTGCGGACGCACAGGTAAGTACTAGGTAAGTTATGGTTTATGTTTATGTTTAGTAGTGATTTGAGATGCATAAAGAGCTCATAACATGCACCCCCGGTGTTAGTGCTCCCGCCCAAATTTGGGCACAGTCTTTCACGTGATGTTCACCTCCCGCACCACACGCTCATCTTGGATCCAAGTTCAGTGCACAGTCTTGTCGTACATACCACTTTAGGTGGTTCCGACTCGTAGGTGACCCGCGATTATTCACCCAGTCTTCACGTGATCGTAGCACTTGAGCGTACTTATTTTACACCCAGTCCTGTTATACAGACCACTTTAGGTGGTTCTGACTTGTGTGTAGGTATAGTTAGTGAGTTGTGGATTTGAGCTCTAGATTCAGCCGTACAGGTCACGTTAGGTGACTCCGGCTGACAGATTACATGGCATGGTTTGACATTACCTGAGTATTTGCATTTTATTTAGAGGCATTTGACATGGCATATTTCTGAGCATGACTTATATATATATATGTATATTCTATTTTTCTTGGAAGTATATAGGTTTTACGGCGAGGGGTTAGAACTTTGTTTATGAAATGGTTTTTGAAAAGCTTGTTTTTGCCCACTCATGTTTTCTGTTTTGCGCCCCTCTAGGTTCTAGTTTGGCTAGCATTTTTGGTGGCTCCCCAGAGGATTTCCCGGCTTATCTGACAGATTATCACCAGTGTAAGACCACCTTTGGGTGTGTTTATTTAGTGTTGTTTCTCCCGGACTGCATTAGGTCTTCCGTGCTCTGAGGTTTGTTTTCACACTTAAGCTTGCACATGTATGTTATTTACCTTGTGTATAGCTAGGTTTGTATTTATTCGTAGTTTTATTATTATTTATTATCTTCCACACTGTGCACATGGTTACGTCACTTGCACGTGACGGCCAGCATGCCCTGATCTCGGTCGGGGTGTGTCAGTTTGGTATCAGAGCCTAGGTTTGGCAGTCCTGTACTTTTGTGAGTATTCTAATGGTTTTTGGTGTCTTCTGTCAGAATTATGCCGCCTCATAGGGAACCACGTCGCTCTGCTGAGCCTAGTTTCCCCGATGTAGCTCAGCTGGGGGAAGCTATCGCTACAGCTATTCAGTCGGCGCTCCGCCCTCCCCAGAGGACTCCTCTGGAAACTATGTACAATCTGAAGCTAGATAAATTCGAGGGCCATGAGGGCTTTGAGGGAGCGGAGCGGTGGCTAGAACATATTGAGAAGACCTTTCGTGTACTGCATAATCAGGGGAATCTCCCTGTTGAGAAATGGGTTGAGACAACATCGTGATTTTTGGGTAAGGATTCTGCATCCTGGTGGGAGTAGGAGGTTCGTTATTTATCCCCAGAGGAGATGACTGATTGGGAGGTATTCAGAGAGTTGTTCAAGAGAAGGTTTGTGCCTCCTGAGTATATTGACCTCAAAAAGCAGGACTTCACTGAGTTGAGATAGGGGAAGTTGACAGCGAACGAGTATTACCGGAGGTTTACTGATCTATCTCGATATCATCCGGATGTGGCTGGCAATCCAGCAGAGATGCTTCGTCGTTTCCGTTTAGGCACTAAGAAGAAGTGGTGTTCGATGGGGACCACTACCCCTTGTGACACCTACCAGGAGTTTTATGAGATTTTGTTGAGAATTGAGGATTCAGAGAACATGCCCAGCGAGAGTGAGGAGGAAGAAAAATATGGTAACCAGAGGAAAGATGACAAGGGCAAGGGTCAGGCGTCGCTCGGACCTCACAAGACCTAGA